TACTTCTGTAAGTGCAGAATTCATTCCCTGTTCTAGTCAGCTTACCCCAAAGGATGTGTCAGTTTTTTATTTCATGAGGAAGAGCAAGTACAGATTAAATTAGCCCATTGCCAAATATTTATGATAATTGAAAGATGAGGAAGAAAGCTCAGTCTTTTTATTTTGATTAGAATTTGAAACGAGAACCATTTTCTCCTTTTATTTGAGAGTCCCTTGGTTGGGATGAAGTTGTGCTAGATGAAAACTTTAAATTTTCCCCAGGCCTAAATAGATAAGTAGTGAACTGATGGTGAGAAACTGATAGATAGATAGATAGATAGATAGAGTAGTTAACTGATAGTGTGGCAAGTGTCTTGCGGAGGTTTGAGGGGAAAGACAAGAATCTAGAAAAAGCAGAAATATGGCCTCACTGTGGGGCGGTGAAGACTGAGAAGCTGGAAGGTGGCTGTACTCAGGACTTGGGAGAGCTTGCTCGCAGAATGCCTGGAAAACGAGTTAACTCTTCAGAGTTCCATGCAACTAGAGTTTATCCTAACAAGGGTCAAAATACACCTCACTCTGAATATTCTGTGGATTGAGGAACCATTTTATTTTAATCATCTTCTGAAAGCACCCCCATATTAATTCAAGTGTTGTAACCATGTGTTAAGTCAAGGCTGGATTCACACTCTGGAATTCCTTACTAGAGCTAAATACTACTTTTGAACTTGAACTTTTGCTGTCTGCCTTTTGTGCATCTAGGAATATAAAGCAGCCATTTGTCAGAGGGCAACTGAAGGCGGTTTTCAAGCAGGACTGAAAACCTCTACAGGCTGCTGGCTTCCTGACACACCCAGCAGACCCCGAGTTTACACTGAAAGCAAACTAACAGGGAGGATGGGGAAACCAGATGGGCACAAGTAAAAGCAGAGAGCAAGGTGTGGGTGAGGCTGAGGCACGGCCCTGGGTGGGGAAGGGCGCAGCGCTACTAAAGAGAAGCAAGCCTGGACCCCAAACGTAGGAGGAAATATCAGATATTGGTAGTTAGCATTTTAAAATATAATTTGTGTATTTTCTTTATATGTGTAACTGTAGGACTACTGCAAATCAGTTTGCAGAAAACAATTGTTTAAGCTGTATGTAGTTTAAGTATTATTGTTTTACCCATTCAAGTGCCACAAACACCTCTGAACCAGAATTATTAGTGGACAAAACTGATGTATATAATTATTACCTGTAAGCACCACATCATCTTGAAGAACTTTGTGATCTATTTAAAAATGTTTAAATATTCCTTGTATAGAGTGGACCATTTTTTTTAAAAAAGTTTTTAAAAACAGTTTTGAAAATTAAAGTTTTGTCATATACAGGAACTTTTAATAAAAGAACAACTTTATTCCTAGTCTTCGGCTGTGGCATACAGTAGAGATTACTTCCATTTAGCAGATCAGGCGGCAAGGGTGTTGATGGTGGACGTCTGTGAAGGACAACACCATGTCCTTGTAGAGATAAGCAGGGCTCGGCTGTACTCGGCCAGCTTCTGGCCTCTGTAACCATTTTGAACTTCCAGTCATTTTAGGAAAACAAGGTACTCAGAAGTTTATAAATAGTTGTTTTTAATAAAAGAAAATCCCTTATTTTGGAAATCACAATATTAATCATTCTGTCGCTTTTAAGAAGCACTTTGATGTGTTCTGGTAATTAGTATTTACTGCCAGATGAGTGTCTCTTGGGCATTTTAATTAATGGGTGACTTTGGCCAAATGAGCTTCTGTTGGTAAACCTTCATAGGAGTTTATTTTTATGCTCATCAAGAATAGCTGTCTCTTCAAAGCTCTTTAATTAGACAAAGTTTAGCAACTGAAACATATTATTAGAATAATGAGTCCCCTCTTATGAGAAATAGGGGTTCGAAGAATCAGGTACTGTTAGAGAACAGCTTCTTAAAACAAAGCATTCTAATTTGATGGCTGTCCAGTTCTTTAGCAGTTCACCTGTCCTTAATCAGGGACTTTGTGTTGTTTAAAGTCCCTGTGACTGATCTCAGCAGAGGCCTAAGCATATCAGAGTGTGAGCTCCTTTATCTGCCCCTAAATTCTCACAGGAAGCTGTGTCCTAGCCCGTTATGTTTCCAAGCAGAAGACTTCTTTTTTCCTCTTCTTCCTTTTTTTTCTATTAAGTTAGCAATAACAGTAGTTAGAAATAGCAGTAGTTTCCAATAACTTGGGAATAACAGGGAAATGCTTCAAAAATCTTATGCCTGAGCCAGGCATGATGGTACACACCTGTAGTCCCAGCACTCTAGGAGGCTGAGGCAGGGAGATTGCAAGTTCAACCATAGCTGGGCAATGTAGTGACTTGGTGAGACTCTGTCTCAAAATTAAAAAAAAAAAACAAATTGTAAAGGGCTGGGGATGTAGCTTGGTGTGAAGGCCCTGGGTTCAGTTTCCAGTACTGCGAGAATAAAAGCTTACCTGTGATAAATGAACTCCTGACAGTTCCTCTGAGGGCTGGCTCTCTTTTTTGTCCCCCCCCCCCCTTCCTCCTCTTCCATCTTCTCTCTCTCCCCTCCCTCCCTACTTCTCCCCTGTCCTTTTTGGTCTTCCCCTTTCCTCCTCCCCTTCTCATTTCCACTGGGCTTTGAACCCCAGGCCTTTGTTCCCTGGAGTTACACCCTCCCTCTTATTTATTTTTTGAGTTGCTAAGTTGCCCACCCTGGGCTTGAACTTGTGATCTTCCTGCTCAGTCTTCCAGAGTGACGGTATGGCAGGCGTGTGCCACCATACCCAACAGCTTTCTCAATAAGTTGTCATCTACTTAGAAGACATACTCTTAAACTGACTCTAGTGTTCGTGCTCCAGAATATTACATTGTTGTCAAAATGCAGTATTTCTCAAGCTGCTCTGTACATGGATTGCCAATTTGGCTCTCTCTTTTTACCTCTCCCCCCATTTCTTGCCCCATGCTCTTAGACTTGGCACTAGTGATAATGTTTTACCATGGATTTCTTTCTTTTTTAATTTAATTTTAAAGAGTATAAAACAACAATAAAACAAATCGAAACAGTGATAAGACAGTAAGAAATCTACAGTGGTTACTACTATATTGCATATTGTTGTCCTCAGAAATTGTTGAGACTAATGGCTTTGGGCTTGCAATGCCAATCAAACAATACAGTTCCTCTGAATCAGCTGGTTGCTTATGGGGTGGGGCTGGGGTCGGACTGTTCTCTACAGTCCTGCTGCCCAGCTGGCTCACAGGCGGGCGCTCAGCTTCCTTCCTGGTTCCCCCTGGGCACACTCTGGCTGGCCTATGGGTGCGAGTTCAGCTTCTGCCTGGTTCTCCCTGGGACATCTGAATTTCATTTTTTGTGATATATATAATCTCTGACTGATCCTGTAGGTGACTGAGATGTGTCCCACCAAAACAACTGGACATTATTCATGGAACTGTATAGCCAATAAACAGTACATTTATTTATGTTCCTACTTTCTTACTATTTCAGGTGCTTAGGATGGCAAATATTTTCCCAGCTAAAATGGTTAATTAAAAGACATTGCAAAAAAAAAAAGAAAAAAAGATTAAACTACAGGAAATTTCAAACAGAAAATACTGTGTCATAATTCACAGTTCTGACCAGTTCCTGACCGGAAAGTGTTGTTGGTTTCATAGATAGGTCACAAATATGTATGTCATTGATTCACTGGATGCCTACAACCATTTTGGTGTTTATTTGTTTTTCTTTTTAATTTTAAAAAGTGAAAACAAAATCTAAGAAAAGAATAGAAACAGTACAGAATTTTAAAAAATAGTTGGAAATTAGCACTAGTTAATACATTGCATATTGTTATCCCAGGAGTCGTTGCTCAGGTTACAAGATTCAGGTATGAAAAAAATGATAAATCAGTGAAAGCAAAACTGTTCTTCTTGATGAACTAAAAGAGAATAGTAGTCTGGTTACCTGTCGTGCGTGTGTGTGTGTGTGTGTGTGTGTGTCATGTGTGTATCATGAGGGTATCGTGTGTGTCCCTCTGTGCGCGTGAGCTTCCCCTCTCTTTCTCTTCCCATCCTAGTTCCTTTCCTTTTCAGCATTTTCTCCCCCTCACCCTTATTCACCAGGGAGGCAATAGGATGTTTACAAATGTGAATTTGATTTATTTCACTTATGAATATGGTCTCACGTTGCCTGTATTTACCCATAAAAGCCTCAAGTTTATCCTTCTGGCCACTTTGGGTGTTACTTGAAGAACGTGCTGCATTGTTCCCAGGTCTGTCAAATCAATTTTTCCTTAAATTTTGAGGATAGCCTGGTTTACAGTACTACAGAATTTATTGTACATAAATTCTTTTGCTGTATCTTATTAACAACCAACCAAGAAAATGATTGACTCATTTAAGTTGATAGAAATTTACTTGGCTTTCTTTTGCTGTTATCTGTGAAAATTATTAACAGAGATTTAAGAATGTCTGGTAAGCCTGAAAAGTGCAGATATAAAGATGTATTCATGTTGCTAAGTGACCAAAGAAGTATTTGTTAAATTGTAGAACTTTAAGAAAACAGCAATGCTTTTAGCCCAAACAAACTGTATAAAGCAGTTTTCCTCCTGGGCAGTCTCTGCTCTTTGCCATGATGATGGATGAATAGGGCTCTGCTTTTTGACTCAGCCTTTAACAAAGGAACCGTCTCCGATACTATCTTTATTCATGTTGGCTGCTTTTTTATGCAGTTTTGTAATGGGGGTGAAAAGGAAGGTGTTCTGTGCTAAGGTTCTTAAAAATATTACTAAACTCTTGGACCACTTTTTTCTTACTGCAGCACAGACATACTTGTGCATAACTGGATTTATACTTAAGATAGCTTAGATTCTTACTACTAATGAGTTTTTGTAACTACAAACCACAACTGTGTTTTCACTTCTTTTATTCTCTCATTCGTTGGGAGTCTCGGTAGCCATGAAGTGTACCTTGTGAGTTTTACCAGCTTCCACAGCGAGAACTGACCGTGCCCTTCTCCTGCACAGACCACCTGGTGGCCCACGGTAGAATGGCAGAGAAGGAAGCCCGTCGCAAGTTCAAGCAGATCGTCACAGCCGTATATTTTTGTCACTGCCGGAACATTGTTCATCGCGATTTGAAAGCTGAAAATTTGCTTCTGGATGCCAATCTGAACATCAAAATAGCAGGTGAGACGTGTGCTGAGGGTGCACAGGGGAAACAGCCGGATTTTCTTTGGAATTCTTAAAGGGTTGTGTACTTTCATGTATTCACAGAGAAGTATTGGAGAAGTAAGGGAAATTAGGCTTTTAAAAATAGCCTGAGAATTGGTAAACTGTCAGAATATCTCACTTGCTGGTGATTTAGCTCAGCGCATAAACACTGGCTGGCAAGCATGGGTTCGAGCCCCGGTACCAAAAGACCAAAAACAAAATACTTTTGTTTCTGTCATATTAGTGGGAAGTAGGCTAAGAAATAAGAGAAAATGTGGTATTTAAAACATTGTGTTAGTTTGGTTGACAATTCCTTTTTAAATACTTTTTAAGAAGTGGAAGGGAGAACCTCTCACATTGGAGACCCTCGGGTCTTCCCTGCGGAGGCTGGGTCACTGCTGGCATGCAGAATGCTTACTGTAGTTTCCCTTTTTCATTAGTACGTGCTTGCAGTGCGTGCCCGGAGCTGGCTGCCTGGGTCACGCATCTCAATTCCTTTTTCATCTGTTTTCTCTTCCCTCCTGCTCCACTCCATCCATCTCTTGACTGCTCTCCTTTGTGCCTTGGGGTTGTGTGTGTGTGTAACACGTTTGCAGTACACAGTGTTTATTTACGTGCCTGCTGTGGAGTGGATGGGCTACATCACACATCCTAACTCGTGTTCACACCCTGTCCCCGTCCTTTCTCCCCCTCCTGCCATTTCTTGAGCTCCTTCCCCTTGAGCTGTAGCTACCATTCTACTTCCTGTTTTATTTGAGCGTGCTTCTTTTAAAAACTGGGTTTTATGGTAATTTAGTAAAAACAGATCTTACAGTGGCTTACAGGCAGTCCAACCTTTTTATGTTTGTTCCCCAAATACAACATTTCATTAAAAGCTGCTTCAGCTCTGAGATGCTAATAGGAGAATTCAGAGCCTCTCATGAGTTTTCTATTTTTTCCCTTCAACATAAATATTTATGTCCAGATCTTACAATAAGCCTGTTAAGATGATACTCAGCTACTTTTAACATAATTCTTTTTTTCAGTCCAGCTTTTTATCTCTTTGAATTTCACCAGGGTGTCCATCTGACAGAGCCTAAAAAATACTTCACTGCTTCAGCCTCCTCCTGCCTCACTTGCACTAAACTATCAGCATTTTGCTTGACAGGCACCAGCTCACTACCTATTGTTAGAGGAAAGTGACTGTGGTTTTTCTGTTTCCCTTCTTTTTTTTATGTAAAAGACATTTCATACAGAGAACTGAAATAGAATATAATTGCTTTGACAAGCCAAGATAGAAAATGCTACAGGTTGGGGAATTGAGTTGAAGTTTAATGTCATTTTATAGGTCAAAGTACCTAAGTTTTCCTTTGCTGGCTTTTGGTTCTTTTGACTATTTCTTTTGTACAGGCAAACCTGTTCCCTTTTACGTACTTGGAATGTCACTAGTTTTTTCCTTGTCTCAGGCTATGGCTGTTCTCTGGCGTAGAACTTTCACATAGTTTTGTAAGCTCATTGAGTCTGACACTCACTACTACATAGTAGATAAAAATTAAGGCTTTATTAAAAACATAAATTATATATTTTCTTTGCTCTTTTTTTTTTTTTTCTTTTGGTGGGTGTGGTACTGAGGATTGAACTCATGACCTTAGGCTTGTCAGGCAGGCGCTTATGCCACTGAGCCAATCCCTGGCCCTTTCCTTTATCCTTACGTCTGTTTTATTCTGTCCAAAGATTTAGATTCTTAGCAGTTCCCACAGAGATGGGTAGCATGGAAAGACCTGGCAATTTCAAACCTACACATAACCTTCCTTTATAATTATTTGTTGCAGTTTCAGTTTAATAGTAATAAAATCCACCCAGCTTCACAATCCTTAAAAATGTAACAGACTGTATTAATTTCTTATTATTGCAGTAACAAATCACTATACTTAGCAACTTGAAACAACACCGATTTTTTAAGGTACAGTTCTAGAAGTCAGTAGTCCCGAGTGATTTTTTTAGGGATGAAGACAAAATATTGCAGGGCTGGCTCTTGGAAGAAGGCAGCTTAGAAGGGAGCGTGTCGCGTCTTGCCGCTTTCCTCCTCTGGAGATGGGCACCTTCGCCCGTGGCCCGTCTCTCTGGTCACTGCAGCCTCCTGCTGCTCTTGTCGCATCTCTTACTCCCAACTCAGTCCTCCTGCTTCTGTCTTCCAAGGAAGCTTCTGTCTTCTGTCTTTTTGATCACATTGAACCCTCTCAGATAATCTCTCCCTTTTCAGATTTTTAGTCAACTCAAAAGTTGTTTAATAACCTCTGAAAAGCCATGTAAATTAACACATTCCCAAGTACAGCGGGGCTAGAACTGTACTGAGAGGAGCATATTTGCCTCACCGTAGTTGTCACTGCAAGGATCTCTAGGTTATTGACAAAGGCTGTGAGTTACAAGGTGGCCTTTTTTTCTATCCTGTATTTTATTTTACCACCAGTGACTCAGAATTAAATTTTTAAAAATGTTGCCTTGGTTCTTGGTTTTTTTCCTCCCCCAAATACATTTTATTCAAGGACAAGAAGAAAGAAAAAGCAGAAGAAAAAACTGCAACAAAGTTTCAGAGCACATCAATCAGGGGGCAACAGTGATACTATACATGTGCATTGTCATCCCCAAGTCATTTACCCAGAGCACAGGACACCAGCATTCAACTGTCTGAACAATACCAGTATAAATCTTTCTCTTCAGCAAACTCAGAAATCAGTAGTATACCTGTCGTATGTTTTATATGCATGCACACACACACATACATGTGTTTTTTTCTTTCAGCTTGCCACACTAATGATGGTGCTTGATTTTGAGCTTGGAAGCATTTTGATTCTGTTAAGAAAAATTCCTATTTTTTTTTTTAGGTTTTACACTGAAACCAAGAATAAAAAGCAGAGGTCACTGATAATTGAAATGGTAAACCATTGAATTATTTCAGCAAGGTGATTTTAAAATATTTTTCTTCATTAGTACTTAACTTTTTTTTTTTTTTTTTTTGTCTTTGAGATAGGGTCATGCTATAGAGTTCAAGCTGGCCTGGGCTCACTTTGTAACCCAGGTGGTCTCAAATTTGCAACAGTCCTCCTGCCTCAGCCTCCTGAGTGCTGGGATTAAGGGGTGTGCCACCATACCCAACTTTCATTGGTAGTTAAGACAAATCTAAGATGTCACAAAAGCAGTCTTTACCTACTGGTGTGTCACTGCAGATTCCTGCATGGCAGATTTCTGGTATTCTGGCAGCCAGCCTTAACTTCTCTGTGTGTTCATAATGCACCTTAGCAAGAATTTTAATGTTATTAACCCAGAGTTTACTTTTTTATTATTTGTTTTCAGAGCAAAGAGTAAATGAGCACCTCTCATTGTGTGACCTGCTGTGTAGCTGTTGTGTTTGTCACATACCCTTTCTCTTCCACGGCACTGTTACTCCACTGCCTGTACCGCACATAAATTAGATAGAATCCTCATTCGCATTTGCCAGATCGCCTCTGACCTTAAGTCACCAGTGGAGAAATGCTTCCAATTGAAGCCAAGTGGAAAACGAGTAATTACGGAAGGGCAGGTTGGATGATTTTGACAAGATAAGGTCAGGTTGATATTGAGCTCAACTTTAATTTTAAAAACCAAAATAACTTTCAGATTCCTGGTATTTTTAGTGATTTTTTTTTGACAATGTATTCTAAATCACAGTAAGACAGAGCTACTATGTGCAAAATAAACACATAAAAAATGAGCCTAAGGCTGGGGATTTAGCTCAGTAGTGCAGTGCCTGCCTGGTAGGCGTAAAGTCCTGAGTTTAATTCCTAGTACCCTCTAGAAAAAAAAAGAAATGAGTCTTTTTCTTTTCTTGCTTTTTCATTTAAGATACTGTTAGTCTTAACCAGCTCATTATAAAGTCATCACACATGTCATAGTGCAAATTAACTTGGAACTAATACAAGTTCAAATTAGGAAATGTGACAAATTTACATTTTCCTTAGGCGATATTTATGTGTTTTTGATTTTGAAAGTTCATGTATTTGTGTTCAGTACAAAAGATGAATAAGTTCTTCTGGGAATGTTTGTTTGTATTTATCTTTCATTTTTTATATGAATTAATGTGGCAAATTATGTTCAGTATCTGATACTGTAAAAATCTAACTGCTACAAGTGTCCATGCTCATGCTTGCCTCTTAGAAAGAATGTGTGACCCTCCATGTGGAGGTAAACTTCATTTGTAGGTGCTGTAGAGTCGGCCATCATTCTGTGGTTTACAGTTTTGTGCTTAAATTCTTGAGAACTTTTGTTCTAGTTCTACTTGCAGAGAGAATAACTTTTCTTCCAGATTTCATAATTTAAAATTTCTTAACGGCTTTAACAAGTTTTTTAAAATGTTGCTAATATTAGTAAGCCAGCATCATCTTGACCATTTTCAAAATAAAAATGTTCTTTGGGAAAGGCATAGGTGCCAGGTTGGGACCTAAGACCTTGCCATGGCTGTCTGAGATCTAAGTAGCTGTTTAAGGTTCTGGGCTGAGTGACGAGTCACAGAAGACCAAACAGAACCATGAAACATGACTCCTGCCCACAGGGTTTGCTGTCCTCTATTCCAGTAGAAAATGTATAGACCTCCGAAAAATTATACCAGAATTTTGATTTAAAGTCCTTCACAGAGTATTTTCACATACATGTATCACTTGAATTCATCATGCTTGGCAAGTAAATGTAGCTTACTAACAAACATTAAAATCCTATCATCTTCTGACATATTTCACTCTCCAAAACTTTGAATTTCTTACATGGAGCAAACTTCTTTCATGTAGAGAGTCCTAATGCGGAAAAAAGAAGGAATTCTAGTTGCTCGTGATAGCACATATGTGTAATCCTGCACTCTTCAGAGGCTGAGGCTGGAGGATCACAGGTTTCAGCCCAGCTCTTGCAATTTAGTGACTTAATAGGACCTGGTCTCAAATTGACAAGGAGTTGGGAATATAGGCCCT